CACCGCAGCCAGGGTACCTTACACATCATATGTCCACGTGGAAAGTATTGTCAGACTGAAGCTCTCAGAACCTTCAGTCTGACATCGCCTCCATTGAAGGCGATTTACAAGGGGGAGGGAATTTGATTTTTCCCTAACCAATCAGTAGAGAACAACGACTCACCCAGAATCTGATGTCATTAGTATCCATGCCTCAGGGGTGCCGAAAACAAGTGAGCATTGCCTGTTTAAAATATCTCCGTCGTCGTGCATGCCCAGCTGCATCGCCGCCCAGTTTAGCAGCTTCCTTAATTTGATCCTCCATTAACGCGAGTAGTGGCGAAATACCTCGATAGCATCGTTAAAGTGATAGTTCAGGTTTTTGGACATGAAGTTGTGTGAAACGCTGACCATCTGTAGCTCTGATGTGACGGTATCACTACTCTCAACGAGCCTCCTGCTCTGAGAAATATCCCGTAGCTTACCGGAGAAAAAGTAGTTCTGAAGATGTACGGGGGACATGTAACCAAAAGGTTTTAAGCTACAAAAAAGTATGCATGTGTTTTGTTAGACTATTTCAATAATTTGAAAACATCCCCGCATTACGTCAGACCTTGCTATCAATTGGGACTATTTTCTGGCCAGTATCACTCCGCCGTGCAAGCCCGCAAGACAGCACGGCAACAGAAATCAATAACCAAGGGCCTGTCCTCGTTGTAGATCTCCAATTAAAGTATAGAAAATGGCTATTGAAAATAATTAATAATTATTTATTATGTAAAATAATTTGACTTAATTTGCATTAAATCACCCTGTGGGGCACCATTCCTTAAAAGGGAAAATGATAGCCAGTTAATGATGTAAGTGTCATAAAGTTCACTCATCGTCCTCCGCTTATCCGGGTCCAGGTCGCGGGGGCAGCAGCCTCAGCAGAGAAGCCCAGACAGTCCTCTCCCCAGCCACTTCCGTCAGCTCCTCTGAAGGAACCCCGAGGCGTTCCCAGGCCAGCCAGGCAATGCAATCCCTCCAGCGTGTCCTGGGGCGGCCCGGAGGTCTCCTCCCGGTTGGACATGCCCGGAATACCTCCCAAGGGAGGCGTCTGGAAGGCATCCTTACCAGATGCCCGAACCACCTCAACTGGCTCCTCTCTATGTGGAGGAGCAGCGGCTCTACTCCGAGTCCCTCCCGGATGTCCGAGCTCCTCACCCTATCTCTAAGCCTGAGCCCAGCCGCCCTATGGAGGAAACTCATTTCTGCCGCTCGTACTCGCGATCTCGTTCTTTTGGTCACTATCCAGAGCTCGTGACCATAGGTGAGGGTTGGAACGTAGATTGACCGGTAAATCGAGAGCTTAGCTTTCTGGCTAAGCTCCCTTTTCACCACAATGGACCGGTTAAGCGCCTGCATCACTGCTGACGCCTCCCCAATCCACCTGTCAATCTCCCGCTCCATCCTACCCTCACTCGTGAACAAGATCCTGAGATACTTAAACTCCTCCACCTGTGGCAGGTCCTCCCCCCCCGACCTGGAGTGGGCAATCCACCCTTTTCCGGCTGAGGACCATGGCCTCAGACTTGGAGGAGCTGATTCTCATCCCAGCCGCTTCACACTCAGCTGCGAACCGTCCCAGCAAGAGCTGGAGGTCACTGTTCGATGGAGCTAGGAGGACTATGTCATCCGCAAAAAGCAGGGACAAGATCCTCCCTTCACCGAACCTGACACCCTCCACCACTCGGCTGCGCCTAGAAATTCTGTCCATGAAAGTTATGAACAGAACCGGTGATAAAGGGCAGCCCTGGCGGAGTCCAACTCTCGCCGGGAACAGGTCCGACTTACTGCCGGCCACGCGAACCGGACTCACGCTCCTTCGCTACAGGGACTGGATGGCCCCTAGCAAGGGACCACCAACCCCATAGTCCCGGAGCACCCCCCACAGGATGCCCCTGGGGACACGGTCGTAAGCCTTCTCCAAATCCACAAAACACATGTGGACTGGTTGGGCGAACTCCCATGCCCCCTCCAGCACCCTGGCGAGGGTAAAGAGCTGGTCCATGGTTCCACGTCCGGGACAAAAACCACATTGCTCCTCCTCAATCTGAGGTTCAACTATCGACCGGACCCTCTTCTCCAGCACCCTGGAGTAGACCTTACCGGGTAGGCTGAGGAGTGTGATCCCCCTGTAGTTGGAACACACCCTCTGGTCCCCTTTCTTGAAGATGGGGACCACCACCCCGGTCTGCCACTCCAGAGGCACTGCCCCCGATGTCCACGCATTGTTGCAGAGACGTGTCAACCAAGACAGCCCTACAACATCCAGAGCCTTGAGATAACCAGGGCGAATCTCATCCACCCCTGGGGCTCCACTGCCGCGGAGTTGCTTCACTACCTTGGCGACTTCTGCCCCAGAAATTGGACGACCCACTCCCAAGACCCCCGGCTCTGTTTCCTCACTGGAATACATGTTGGTGGGATTGAGGAGCTCCTCTAAGTATTCTTTCCACCGCCCGACAATGTCCCCAGTTGACGTCAGCAGCTCCCCGCCCCCACTGTAAACAATGTGAGCAAGTTGCAGCCTTCCCCCCCTGAGGCGCCGGACGGTTTGCCAGAACCTCTTTGGAACCGATCAATAGTCTTTCTCCATGGCCTCACCGAACTCCTTCCATGCCCGAGTTTTTGCCTCTGTGACTGCCGCTGCTGCGCTCTGCTTGGCCCGCCGGTGACCGTCAGCTGCCTCCGGAGACCCACAGACCAACCATGTCCTGTAGGCCTCCTTCTTCAGCCTGACGGCTCCCCTCACCTCTGGTGTCCACCAGTGGGATCACCAAACTATTAATTTGGAATTCTTATTAATAATTAAATTAATAACCATAACCAAAATTGCCATATAAATAGTAAAGGCTGAAGGATTTCAGAGTTCCTGACATAGCAGAGGTTGACTATTCATTTACTCTTATAAAGTATTAAACAGACAGCAGGTGTGATTCCAAATAAATGTATTCGCAAAGACAGCAAATCAACAAAACACAGAAATTCTAACTAACTATATACAAGCATGGGTGTGTGTATATGTGTGCGGGGTGTGTGTGTATGTGTGAGAGAGAGAGACAGAGACAAAGACAGAGACAGAGACAGAGACGGAGACGGAGAGACAGAGAATGGCAGGTGTGTGAAACAAAGGGCTGTTTGACCAACAAACAAAATGGCTGACAACAGAGAACTACAAGACGGCCGAATCAAAGCTGGCTTCAGATCGGGGGAGTTCTGCCTGACTGTGTGGTCAGGAAAAAGACAAAGGAAAAGAAGGGGGAACTTTGAGTTGCCTCTTTGGGTGTAGCTCTGTTGAAAGCCAATGTGTGAGTGAGTATGTGCATGTGATTTGTGTTGCAAAGGGTCTTGGTTAGTACAGAGGATGTTTAGTTGCATGCAAGACTCTGTCTGTGAAAAGCATTAGCAAACTAACATCACTAAGCTTTGGTGAAGCCAACTTACCAATAACCTAACTGCAAACAATCACAACAATAACTCAATAACAGCATTAGATCACAATTGACAAAGTTAAACAGTCTTGCTTAGCCTGTACAACTGTAATAATGCTATGTCCAGTTGTTTCGTTACCAATCCTTGAATGGATGGAGGGAAGAGTTGCTTGGTGGCATGCTGCTTTTGTTAGCTGGCAGAGGAAGGCTTGAAAGAACTGTGGTTCCAGGTACAGTCTTTGCTGTGTCCTTGTTCTGAAGTTGCAGATCTGAGGAAGCCAGTCACTCGGTGTCTTTGCAGAGGTAAACGTTGGGGTGCTAACTCAACTTGTTTCTCCTTTGTTGCTGGAAAGTTAGTTGCAAACCTAGTGTTTGGGACACTGTATTCTCTTGTCTCCAGGTTCTGCTCCTGCTGTGGACATGCAGGTCTAGGAGCAGGAGAGCAAAAATAGTCTTAGGAGCAAGAGCCGGTTAGCGGCTCGGGAGAAAAAGCCGGGACAGAGAGTCTGTAGAGCAAGTGTCCCCTTCGATGGTTCAGGGGCAAGAGCAAGGGTCTGAGCTGGTTGGCGGCTCAGGAGGAAGAGAGTGAAGAGAATAGAACTTCTCCTACAGTTTGCTTGGTGACATCACAGAGTCACATGTCACTGTAAAAGTACAGTCCAATCAAGGTTGGAGACTGGTCTCTCACTTCAGTGTGAGAATGAGGCACCCATGTGGAGATGGCTGTCTTTGTTTGAAGAACAAAGAGCATGCTGAGAAGAAAAGCCTTCACACATTTAGTTTAGATCTTAACAAATGACAAATCATCTGTGGTCCAGTGAATCCCAACAGTCATTCTTTAGAAAGGATGGCAGAAAAATGATGTGTCATATGTCATTTGTGAAACTGTGGATTTAGCCATCGACAGTGTCAGTCAGCGTAGATGAGGAGGGTTTGAACACCCAACCTGGTGAAGTGCATGCACCAGATAAAAACTCAGCAGCAAAATCAGAGAGCCAGGCAAAAGCCAGCCCATCTAACAGACTGTGACTTAGCAGACATTTGCAATGGAGCAGCAGTGGAGCTCTGGCATTGTCTCGATGGCAGTAGAGATGCACAGTACTATTGATAATTCATTGGTATCGCCCAATATCAGCTTCTGAAAGTATCAGAATCAGCCAACATGCTTTGTCTTAGTTTGCACAATGAATGAATATTACATACATTGAAAAGCATTCTATTTCATGTCGTCATCTGCCGGTGGACCATCACAATAAGAGTATGCATGCATGCATGATATGATAATTCTGCAACAGAAGAGACTTGATGATCATTAAATTAGGTGGTGTTATATATCGGCATATCGGATATCTGCAAAAAATCCAATATTGTGCATCCCTAGATAGCAGGGTAGTTCACCCAAATTTAAACCTTTAAATTAAGATTAAGGTTATTTTGACAATTTCTCCCATACTCCTAAAAGCTGCACATAACACATTAATACTTGACTTTTCTTTTACTTTGTTGTTAAGTCAGGCCATTGTTTCCCCTATCTGTCCATTCCAGCCATGGCATCTACTCCTGACAACAAATCCACTCGTCCGGTCAGTGCCCCCGTGATGTCACCAGTGTCTCCCGGGGAGGCAACTCCTTCACCTCTGCTACCCACCTTGGCTCGCTCTAACCATCGTGATGGCTCCACACCCAAAGGCCACCGCTCTGCAGACAGGAAGACAGAGGTAAAGGCAGAGAGTCAGCCAGCTGAGCTTACGAAGAGCCACAGCCCCAGACCCACTCCACAGATCAAGGTAGGAGTGACATTCCTTTACCTCAGCAGATGTGTTTTAGGTACCATCAAACTTTCACTCTATTCACAAACAGGACAGGTTAAAGGGCACCGATAATTAGTGATCATGTTCTAAAGGTTGAGGATTAAGATACAGAGTAAGGGAGCATAATACAAATCATTAAACCAGACATTGTAAAAAGCTGAGTGACAAACACCTTTATGCATAGCACTGCCAAGGTGGATCTGTTCACAAAGGTGCTTGTTACCTACACTACACTAACCTTAGCATATGTTGCTAACACGTACGACTAAAACTCTCTACAGTCCACACTATATTTGCCAACTCCCAGTTTTTCCTGGAAGATCCCTTTTTTTCATTGCCCTCCCACAGTTTTCTCCGTGGGTCACAATTCTTGTATATTTCTCCTTATTTTTGACAACATGTTCACACTTTGTTTTCTCTGCTCTGAAAGTGTACTCTCTCCTTCCTTCTCCAACCCTGCGGGGCTGGAAAGGGGCACCCATCGGGCCCACATGAGTTGGGCCCAGCTGCCAATGGACATCTAGTCTCTTTGTTGACTCCATTATGCATTTTTAAGTCCAACAGGACACTCAAGCAAGGTTAAAGGGGTGCTTTGGGGGGTTGGGGTGTACTTGGCTTGCCCCCCTTCACTACCCAGCTTTCTTCCAGTGGCCGTGAGCCTCTTGATCTGCCTCACTTAAGGTGGATTTATACTTGTGCGTCAGCTGTATGCAGAGCCTACGCCATAGCCTATGCACCTGGCCTATGCCGTTGTGAGCATTTATACTTGTGTGGTGGTATGTCTGTATCACTCTGCAGTTACACCTCTAAAACACTAGTTGGTGGTGGAGTGTCTGTGTATTGCTGTTAAGTTCAGCTGAATCAAAACACACCCAAAACACACGTTAAATGTGGCTTAATAGAGACAGTTTTAATTACAAGCACACAAATCAGTTTCATTATAACCCACAGGATTCACAGAAAAAGCACTTCACTTTTGCTAGGCACGTTTTCCCCACAAATACAACAGACTAGTGTTATTAGCATAAGCCTACTGCATTTTACATTGTATAAATTAGTCTAGCCAGGGACAACAGCAACATTGAACAAATTTACCAACAGTTTAAAATTGTTTTTTCTTTTAAGGTCTTTATGGAAACACAATGGTTTTGTGTTTTTTTTTTTTTAAATCCTGGTTGTGCTAAGAATTGATCCTGATGTGTGAGCTTTGTCTGTGCTACCAGACAGTGGCCAGGAGAGAGCGGAGGCATTCCCCCTCTGTAACCACTGCCAATGGAGAAAGAGAGAAAAAAAGCCAGGTTTGTTTGATCTATGCATGATCAGCTGAACCACTGTTGGAACCACAACTTGATTGCTTTTAATTGTTGTTATTGTTGTTTTACATATGTATATATATATATATACATACACACACACACACACACACACACACATATATATATATATATATATATATATATATATATATATATACATTTTTTATTTTCAAACAGGTCTACCTGTATATGTATATGTATATGTATATGTTCTATTAGTATAACAGCAGAGTCATGTCATACTCACTTATTTAAATTCAATACTTATTTTCAGGTGCCTTTATTCTACTGTTTGTTGTGTGTGTGTGTGTGTGTGTGTGTGTGTGTTTGTGTGTTCGTGTGTGTGATTTTCTTAACGTTGTTGAGGCACCAATGAAACTAAACACTTTCAGAACATTTTTCACATTAAAAGACTTGGTGTGGCATAAAGGGTGTAATCTGTCTCTTGCCTACCCGGATCAGCAATATGTATAAAATCTTATATCATGATAAATGGTATTGTGTATCACAATATCAGTATAGATTGTGATATAATACTGGAGCAGTCAGTTCCAATTGTTGATGGCCAAGCAAAATGTCTGAGTTCAGTGAATCCAACAAATTTAATATGTGAAGAATCAAAGCATAAAATCAAACTTACATAAAATCATACAAAAACCCAATATTGCTTGAAATTTGCCCTGATCAATAATCTGCAGATATTTAAGGGATAGCTACCATAATATACGCAGTATGGCTAAATGTGTGACAGCTGACCAAATTACAAATTGTACATTGTAGTGGCATCATATAACCTGCTCCTATTTCCTAGAAAGCTTTTAATGTGAAATATCAGCATGAAGTGATGAGATTTACTGACAGCAGCTGAACACCCATAAAGAGAATATGAAAGCAGGAGTGACTGAAATTTTTTAGTGAATTTCAACATTATTTCCTAACAAGAGATACACTAAAGTGATGTGAAAATGTCCATAATACTGCATAATGAGCATAAGCTACAATAAATATAATTGATAATTTTTGTCTGAGGAACCTGTCTGCATCTGTTCATCCTGGCCCCCTGGCCATAATTTTAGTACTGGCTTTTATTTGAGAATAATGGTTTACAATTTGAAGTGTTTGTGGATGATTATCAGTTTTTGACTAAATCAGCTTTAGTGAACTATTTATTTTCAGTATAGAGGAAATACTGAAGATGATTGTTTGTCACTTGTTAATAGTGTAACTTGAAAGACTGTCAGGCAGGTGTTTTTGATTGTGTTATAAATGGTTTGTGCTGAGATGGACTGAAACAGGGCCCTAACAAACAGTAACTCTGTCTTTCCTCTGGTGGTGGAGCAGCACTCTCCTCAGGACAAAACAAAGACGGAGGGGGTGCGAGTGAGGAAGGTTAGCATGCTCCTAGGCTGATGATCCTGCTGACTCACCATCCTCATTCCTTCATTAGTTACACATGAAGAGACATTTAATTTACTTCTTTGTTGTTTGACATTTTAATTGCTTTATGATTTCTGGCTGGCTGTTTTCCTGTGAAGGCTTGTACATGTGCTTGACAGAAAAGTGTGTTTCTTGTATGAAACATGGTTTCTCCTTATCCTGAAGCAAACAGGTAGCTATATTCTTTACATAAGAACATTTGTAAGAAGGAGAATGCCTTTGGTCGTTCCACATACTCACATGCTCATCTCTGGTTAAGAGAAGACCCATTTTTGCTGATTGATTCAGCAAAAATGGGTCTTCTCTTAACCAGAGATGAGCATTTTTGCTGATTGATTCAGTCCCTCCAGGATTTTGCAGACCAAAACAGATTGATTTTGCATCGTCTTTGTGTGTTTAACTTGAACTTTCTTGTTGCAACATTTGCATGAGGCATGGTGCACTTTACATTTTAAATCAGGGTTTTAAACTTATTTCTTTGTTTCTGCTATTTTTATTTATTTTTCATAGATCTAACTTTAATTCTAATTTTTATTATTGTCTTGCGTGAAGGGAGACTGGTAATTAACAATTTCATTGTATGGTGCAAACCGCTTTTCTACTGTGCATATGGCAATAAATTAAATTATTTTAAAGGAAACAATTATCTACTGCAGTACAGTGATGGACTGGCAGTACACTCTACACTGCAAATTATTTCCACAAACTTGCAATATATGTAATTGTAATATTTCACAATAAATTATATTATTATCACCTTAAAGGCTACAACCATGATATTTAACCATATTCAGAATTTCATTGTGAGATTCAAGCAGGTTAATATAGTAAATTTACAGAAGTACACTGCTAAATCACAGTATGGAGTTTGAATGTGAGATTATTGTAAAGTACAGTAATTCTATGGGAGCATATTGCTAAATCCCAGTAATCAGATGCACATTAACTGTGAAGTTACAGTTAAATTCAGTAATTTACAGGAGCATACTGTCATATAACAGTCATGTAATGGGCTTTAACTGTGAGGTAACAGTTGAATTTACTAATTTTACAGGAGCATACTGCTAAATCACAGTAATATGCAGGCATAACATCTGTGAGATCACAGCTGTCATTTAACAACAATTTACTGTAAAAATAATACAGAAAATTACTGTGAATGTAACGCAACCAGTAGTTAGTAATAGACCTTTTGCTAAGCCCCACCCCTTTGTGATGGTCCGACAAGCTGTCGCAGTAAGCATGGACCCCACAGACAGAGGGGTCTACAAAATGCACTTTAATATCTTTAATATCCAGGATGTCAGACTCACTCAGCAGCAAAAACAGGTTTAAAAGACAAAGATAACTAAAGCCAAAATATAGGTTACATACATATCACAGTGTAAAAGTGAACCTCCACATCACTGGTGATTGCAGCAGAAGACAATGAACATGGACATCGCATTTTGGGTTTACTTGACCATATACTTCATTCAATTCAATTCAATTCAATTCAGTTCAATTTTATTTATAAATCCCAATATCACAAATCACAATTTGCCTCACAGGGCTTTACAGCATACGACATCCCTCTGTCCTTATGACCCTTGCAGCGGATAAGGAAAAACTCCTCTTCCAGGACGGACAGACGTGCAATAGATGTCATACTTTCTACTTAACTTAGACCTGTTGTCCTTGTTCGTGGACACTTTTTTTGTGCTATCTCATGGTAGTGAGAGCACAATACACTAATCTATGTAAGATGGAATATAGATGGCAGCCATCTCTGTCAAGTCATTCTGCAGCCAATCCTGACACAAAAGTGGACAATGTCCAAAACCTGATCACATTTTATGGTTGGAACTTGTTTATTTATGATTAATAATGTTTGTAGTTTGATATGGCAACAAATATGACATAGTTTAGCAACAGTAACAAGATAAGAGGCTGTTAATTAGGAAGTACTCATACGAAGGCATTGGGACTTCATTATCATTGACGATGTTTAGTTTTTTATACTTATTGGGTCCTACTAATCCTAAATAGCTAGGAGAAATTAAAAATGTATACCAAATAAAAGTTTGGGTCTCAGGAGGTTAAGTGTTCATTATCATCATTAAAAAAAAAGCAAAAGCAGCATGTGTATACATTTAATATGTTATATCCTCAGTATCTAGCTAGCTAACCCTACACTTTCCAGGGTTTGATTTTGGTTTTGGAACAGGGAAGAAACAAATATCTTTTTCCAACCTCCCCAGGGAACGAGTATCATTAATACATGTGCCTCAGGCACAACATTTAGCTCGAAATCCAAACCAGCCTAAAAATGAAGGAAATCTGAAACGATTGCATTAGAGTTAATGGAGCAAAGCTGTTGTTGTTGTTGTTGTACACCAGACACAAAATAAATGTGTCACATGACAGAAATTCTATGTCACTTTAACATAACATTTTTTTTTTTGTTTTCTGAGCATTTAATTCGAGTCATATCATCAGCCGAAGGGGGGCTATGGAGTTATTGGAGACACTGAGCACTTGGGCCAATATTGTGTGTAAAAATAGCAACTGTACAGTGTATGTGGACAGTCAGGAATTACTAAGGCATGCACATGTAATCTTATCTACCCAAACAAAAGCATATCATACAAAAATCTACTGTAGAAATCATAAAATTGTTCCGTAACAATAGTCATATTACTCCAGGCTTTTGTGTAATGGGTACACTACACTGTGATACAGATAATGGTTTTAAAGCTCAGCACAACATAGTGAAGCATTTAGCAGCTGATGCTAAAAAAGAGTCAATGTTGGACTTAACATTCAACAGGACTCCACATGGATGCTAATCTATGTTACTGATGTTTGTCTAACTCACCATATCAGCTCAAAAGGTGATGATTTGCAGGTTGAAAGTGAAAGAAAATATCAATCATATTAATACACTGAAATGTGAAAACAGTGAGAATAATTTTTTTTAAAAAAAACGTGCAAATTCCTGAAGTGATAAGCAGGTGCACAGCTAGCTCCTTGTCCTGTACACTGCACTGCAGCAACCTTTGCATGCATAGCATGTGACTTCTACTCACATCAGCGAGTGTGTATCCGCCTGGATTCTCATACACACGACTGCTGTGTGTGTAGCTGAATTCATCACATTTCCCCCGCTGAGCTGGGCACACTGGGAACTGCAACCCATTAGCGTTTTGATTTTTTGTGATTCATGTCATGGCCATAGTCAGTGCTGCTCCCTGGATTCCATTGCAAATCAAATATAAAAATGTTTGAATGAATTCTGCATTATTTCCAACCAGCTCTTCCTTTGTCCTCATTTTCCACAGAAAAGAGCAAAGAAACTTGAGGGTGAAACTATTTATATCAGACATAGCAATTTAATGTTGGAGGTTTGTATCTTCAGTCTTCAGATATCTGTTCTGGCTGTTTGCTGTCACTGCTTTTCTGCCTGCATGAGCGTTGCTTTTGTTTTGACACCTCTGTTTCTCTTCATTTTTTGCTTTGTTTTCAGCTTAACCCTAAAGGCTTGGCATGCACTATTTTCCTCTCTGATTCTCATGCAAGTAGCTTCACTTTACTCAGACATTGTCTGTAATTTCATATTTTCATTTGATCAAATATATGATTGGGAAAGGTGTCTTTTCTAACATAGGTTATAAAGTTTAAACTGGTACTCCCGCTTGGTCATTGGTGCTTAAACAAACAACACACAACTGAAATTATCTGAGCTATAAAGATGTTGTATGGAATCACAATAAAATTGCTGTTGCAGTTCAAATATATACTGTATATGCCTGTTTTCAGTTATGTGAGGATGTGGATCTTCAGGAGAAACAATCCACTCCATCTATCTGTATGAAATATTAAAAAAGTCTTATTGTGGTCAAAAAACAGATGCATTTTTAAAAAAGTGTTAATTATAAAAATGTCTAAAGCTGTAAGCAACCACTGTTTATCATCAGTAAGGGTAAATGATTTTACAAATTAAAAAGAGTGGCACAACCCCTTCCTTGCCTGGTAAATGCACTCATTTTTAGGGTGTTTTCACACTTGGTCCCTTTCAGTCCTCCAAACAGACTCAGAGCGATGACTCAGCATCTTTTGTGCATATGTGAACACTCCAAGAGAACTCAGATCCTTCTGAAACGGACCATACTCAGACCTCATTGAAAGGTGGTACAGTTGGTCTCAAGTCTGCGTTGCGGTTGCTTAACATGCATTGTGAACACAACACATTCTCACTCTGACCTCTTCACATATCGATGTTTGGTCATGGACTTTCCTTGTCAAGATATTGTGCAAGGTCCCCTGGGTGTGTTGGTTGTTGACGTTCTGGAACGCCGTGTCAACATCAGCCTGTTACATGCAGCCACACTTTTTGTCAGTGTCTGATGCCGGAAGTCACTGACCAAGCTCCAGATTTCAATGACTTTGGCATGAGGCTGGGTTGACACATAGCGCACCAGATTAGCTTTTCCCTTGTTGCCCTTACTTTAGCCCTCTAGATCACATGCAAATGTACTGGGACACTCAGTGGACACATAGACAGAGCCATGTCCACTGGTTATGCTAGCAATAATGAGGATGAGGAACACTCAGCAAAAAACTGCTGTTTTTCTCCAGGTATGCCGTGAAAAACACATCACACAACAACTGTCTGCAACGCACAGAAATGCTTAGGTTTGCCTCCAATTTTCAGTTCATATGAAAGTGTGGGGCTTCATAAACACTCTGCAGTGCTGCGTCAAAGTAGAATAAAAAAAAGAACTATGTCAAAAGTACTTTACAACATAAGAATCACCACCTCTCTCCAAAGCAGTAAAGGCATGAGCTCCAGAGAAACTATAGTAAACACAGAGAGAACAGAGAACCCCTCAGAACTGAAGTTGACCAGAAAGAGAACTAACCCCCAATTTCCACCAGATGCGTGTTGGTTGTGTCTGCGCTTCGGCACGGCAGCGGAGCCGATAGGATTCAATTCTAGTCAATGTGTGTGTTTCCACTGGCTGCGGGTGTGCTGCGTTCCAGCTCCGTCTCAGCTGCGGCACTCCAGAGCCCTCCGCAACAGATATGCAGGACTTCTATTTTTGCTGGACGCCGGAGCACAACGCAACAATTCAGCACAGAGCAGATGGTGCGGGGCAGGAGGTCGTGTGCAGAAACAAAATAAAACATCTGGTTAATTTTCAAAATAAAATACACAGTGTTCACGGCGGATCATATTTCCCTGCACTACACCTTGAAAACTACATAATGGGCAGAGGCTGGCTTGAAGTCAACAGGTCAGAGGTTTTCAGACGTCATTTCACCCCTATGACACCATGGACGAGGAGATGTTAATCATGGCGGTGCACCAAGATGTCTTCTGGTGGAGCTGCACCGCTCCGCTCAGCATATGCAGCCGGTGGGTGTTGACGGACGACGGAGCACGCAGCGGTCTTCTGTCCAATGAACTGACAGTGCAAAAAGAACTGAGTCCCTCTTCTATTGGTCCACTTTGTTTGAAAAGGACTGCATGTGAAAACACTCTTTGAGTGTGTTAACACATAGTCATTTTCGATTGATTGGCTGATCCATAGCTAGACACATGAGCGTAACTTTCATTTCAACACTGGGGGGGACAGGGACACATTAAGTGAGGGTCTGTGCCTAAGCATCCTGCAAATGCTGATAGATAATGTCTGGCTGCCCAGCGTCTAGCAGGTTAGACATAGTGGTTAGCTATTATGCTAGCATGTTGGCTGGAAACAGACGATTATTTTGAGCACATAATATTCACTCCGTCTCCAAATCTCGTGGCTGTAAGTTGCTCATAACGTAGGCTCTGGCCTCGGATCCGTTATCAAACTATTTCTGCTCACCTCCTGGAGTACGAGATGCCATACTTGACCTTGGGGCAGCGGCGCAGCAGCCCTCTGACCTCATTGAAGGCAGCCCGCTTCGCCCTAACCAAGGGTGTGTAGTCGGGGTAAATGTGGATCCGCCTGTTGTTGTGGAAGATGGCTCCCGCTGCTGCAGCTTTCCGCAGGATGTCCACCTTCTCCTAGAAGTTTTGAAACTTAACCACAATGGGTCTAGGCGGGTTCCCATCTTTCCGCTTGGGCTGCAGACTCCTGTGCGCCCGGTCCAACTTCGGAGAGTAGTCGAGGGCTAGCGCATCTTGTAGCATCTTAGCAACAGCAAGCTCCGGTCGCGTTTCACCAAAGCCTTCATCCACGCCGATGATTCTGCAGTTGTCTCTCCACTGCCTAGATTCCAAGACTTCTGTCTTAGCCACCAGCTGGTTTACTTTGGAGGTGAGTGATTTCACTGTGTTTTCCAGTTCGACGACCATGTCCGAGTAGGCATTAGCCTCGTCCTCCAGGCTAGTGAGGCACGTAGCATGCACAGCATTAACTTTTTCAACTTCTTTCATTGCCTTGGTGTGTTCGGCACGGGTGTTTGCAATCTGCTGGTGTAGCTCTCTCGAAAGATCTTAAATTTTCTTGTTTGACGAATCTATCTTTGCTAACACCCTTTGCTCCGACATAAGCATGCTTATGAATGTTAACCACATGCAACGCGACTGGCAACTCTACAATGGCGCAACTGAGAGAGGCAACGTGTTGGGTACTGGACCGTACCATTATGGTATGGTCCAGTAGGAGTGTTTGAAATAGTTGGGAAATGGTTAAGAAAGATATATAAGTGTTTAGAGCCGCTGGGCTGTGGTTTTTACCTCTTTAGGAGAGGGGGTTGTCATTGGTGTTATCTTTGGGGGTGGGGGGGGGGGGGGGGACAATTTCATCTGTTCTAAATATTGGAGGGGACATGTCTCTGACCTCATCACATATCGATGTTTGATCATGGATTTTCCACGTTGAGATACGCCATGCTTGGTAACCTGGATGTTGATCTTCTGCTACGCCCTGTTAACTTCATTCTGTTACATGTATTGTCTATTTTCAAAATACACTTCTGTTTTCGCAGGAAATCTACAGTTTGGATACAGTCTCTCAATACAACACTCAAAACAACACTGGGTATTGACATGATTTTCCCTCAACAACAAATGCACGTGGTTATGTTTTGCCAACACATGCACATGGTTGGGTCTAGGCAACAAAAGCATGTCGTTGGTTTTAGGAAAAAAGAACAGGGATTGGCTTTACAATCTTAAGGGAAGTGAACAGCGGCCTCCTAGGTGAAAGGCTGTGGCCTTTGGACTCATCCACCACCCCTCCTGCCCACCTTACTTGGTCTTCCGTCCCCTAACTTTTGTTGTTGTTCCGCGACATTTCCCCTGATGCCGCTGGGTGCCGTTAAACAATAACAGTGCCTAACTGCGTAGGGGTTTGAGTTCTCTTGGAGTGTTCTCATATGCACAAAAAATGCTGAGTCATTGCTCTTCACTTGGAAAGCTGAAAGGAACCAAGTGTGAGAACACCCTTAATTTCCACACCACAAATTACATGTTTCAAACCCAAAGCAAGATAACCCTGATTACATCATCTGCATTATTTACCCAGACTTGACAAAGCTCTTGCAGAACCCCAGAAGACATTATACAACTGTTTACATTATTATATTTTCCAGAGCCACAGACGCAAGCACTTTTGCTGTTAAGACATTAACTCAATGGTAATTTAGCTTTAAACTTTAAACTTCACCTCACGGATAAACTGATAGCAAGCCCTAAAGCAGTTGCACTGAGTCTAAGTCTCCTTCCTCCTCACACCAAGGAAGGGAAAAAAACCTTTGTTATGTGTCGGTCACTATATATGAAAAAGATGTGAGCAAAACTAGACTGGATTTTTTACATTATTCTAAGTAAAACCCTGACCAAAACATTAATAACCTGACTTTAACAAAAACTATTAATCTAACCAAAATAACTTGAACTAGGAGTAAAAAATGTAGGCTATGCACAAGTTAGGTGGTTAAAGACAATGAAAATGTGCTGGCCCTGTGCCTTATTTATCTTGGCATGGATCCTTTTAGGGCTGACATCACAATGTTGTCACTTTGTTAGCTAGAGGCGAAACATGACTCGCCACCACAGGGCTGTAGACTACATAGGAGTCTTACAATGTTGTTTTGACATGTCATTGGAAGCCAGAATAGAAGGAGTCATGGCTCATAACATTTTATCGCACACCAGCTGCCACTGCCCATCAAGAAAAACAAAAAAATATGGCTAAATGTGGTAAGATGAAAGGACTGGATGGAGGCGATCATCAAAAATGCTTGCATGTGCAGCACACATTTCATATAAGGTTAGGGAAATAGTATTTACTGTTTTAGGGATGAAATTATAATCTAATCAGATATCAGGGAGGTATTGAGAGGAATATTTCTCCGTAACACTAATTTTTTCATGCACTAGCTAACGATAAGTTCTATAGCAAAA